CAGCTTTTCAGTTAAAAAAATAATTTTCATTTCCTTTTTTAAGCTAAAAATTTTATCAATCAGATATTTTTTTCTTTTTTATCACTGATAAAAAATTCCTGTAATTTAGTATCGCTGGGAATTTTTAAAACATTGATTTGATTGCTTTTAGTTCCTTCTTAAGTAAATTTAATCATTTTGATTGATAGCACAAAAAAATGAGTAAAATGGAAATTTATTTTTTTTTTACTGCGAAAAAATATTTAGTCAGATAGATCACTGATTATTTTTTATCTGTGATCCAAAGAATCACCAATAAATGCTCGAAGTGTCAACAACCGAATGATTGTCAACTTTAATAGACTTTGTGACGATGCAATAAAAAAGAAAAAAAAATTACAGAAAACAGAAAATAAATTTCACATCATTAAATCATTTGTCATACAATTTTCAATTAAAAGCTGAAATTTTATTATTTCTTCAAATGCTAATGTCATAGCAACTGCACGACACGGACATTTTAGCACTTAATCAAAATTTAGTACTTGTAAAAGCAAATTTAGAATTTCTTTCTTACTGCCCTGTTTCCTTTTGAAACAAAGTAGCTTCCTTTCTTGATGGTTCAGATCGTTGACTTCTTTGTCCTCGATACTGGTAGAATCTTTGTATTGGTTCCGTTCTGTGTACGTGTACTGTGGGAGTCTTCGTGAAATACTTTATTATTCAAATCTCAAATTTGGGTAATTAACCCACAGATTAACATTAAAAATTATACGACATTACAATAATGAATTAATGCATTACATATAAATGTAAATTACAAAACATTTAAAGATACAAGCAAGCTAGACACCTTGCAACCGAGCTATACCAAACAAAGAACTATAATGAATGGCTTTGTAAGGAAGAAAACTGGGAAGGATTTTGTGGGTGTTAAGGTTACAAAGTGGATTAAAATCACTTAAAACAATAGCTTTTGTTCATTAGGTTATAGCATTGTGGCGATAGTACATGAAATGTTCAAAAGCGCAGAATATTCAAATTTTCGTTTGAGATTTAATGATTGTATCATCAAAATATTTGTATTAGATACATATTTAGCTTCAAGATTTTATTTAATTTTTTTGAAGATTTAAATAAATGCTCTTTTCAGATTGCAAGAAACATCGAGATTGCCGTATTGATCAAATTTGTGAGGAAGAGAAATGCATGCCGGATTTATTGCCGATATTAGCAATGAAAGAAACAAACAAACAACATTTATGTATAAATCTTAAAAATTCAAAATATAATCAAATTATATTTTTATGTCTGATTGAAGTCACTCAAAATGATTTTGTTGCAAAACATTTACACTTCATTTTTAGCAATTCATAAAAAAATTTTTGTATAAATATGTTTGAAATTTTCATCTCGTCTTTTTAACTCAAATAAGATAGTTTGATATAGTTTTTATATTTAAATTCTATTTTTATCAATTTTAAGGGAAAGATTTACGTCCATATATTTTAATCTAATCAATATACACGTAAAGCTATGTCTTAAGCAAATTATTTCAATTAAACTTCTAAATTAAGTAATTTAAATTAAGAAAATTTGTTTTAAGCATTTAAATAAAGTAAATTATTTCAGATTGTAATACTAATTATCACTGTAAATCATGGCAAAAATGTATGAATGGTATATGTGTGCAAAGTTTTGAGCATTTAGCAACAACGAATGATCTCGAAACATTGATTGTACCACCATTCAAATTAAAACCAATGAAATTTGATGCAAAAGAAAAGATAAACAATCAGACAACGAATACGACTGAATTTCAAACGTTGAAGATGGCAAAATCTGATGAACAATCTGAATCTGAGGAACTGGAAGAAACCGAAACTGAAGAATTAAGTGAGACAGTTGCACAAGCAATAGATGTGGCAGTATCGCAGATACCAAATGAGGAAATAACTGAAGTAATGAATGTGACAGAATTTGAGACAATTATTGAAACAGGAACTGTATCTGATTATCACACATTAAATACGGAAACAGATTCTTGGACTTTAGAAAGTAATCTTTTATGAATAAGATTAGTAGTTTGTTAAATCAGTTGATTATTGTTGTAATTTCCGATAATTTTAAGCTATTTCATCTAAATATTACTTTCTTATTTATCAATAAATATCATTTTAATATCATTCTAATTTTGACTTTGATTCTATACGAATGGCTAATGTAATCTTCAATAGCTATGCGCAATTGATGAATATTTTGCTGTGAATATATTACTGCTAAAACTTGGGCCAAAATTTGTCCATAATTTGGTCTTAACAGTAGCGATAGATTTCTTTTAAGTTTGTTTAAAATTATGAAAATGTATAGGAGAGAAGCGCACTCATTAATTAAACTTTTCTTGTTCCATTACATTTTGCTAAGAATTTTTTTTCAAAAAAAAAAAAAGCATTGCTAAAATTTGGAATATTTCAGAATGTGACAGTAGTGCAGATTGCAAAAAATCACAAATTTGCCAGGATGGACTCTGCCATAATTCTCATTCTTATACAAGTAAGAAACTAAATTTACGACAATGAAGAATGAAACGGCATTTCTGATCCTTTCAACTGTTTAAAGTAAATGAGTGAGTAAAGCATTTTGGAGTATAAAACCAGTAAGCAAGGTGCAAATGACGAGATAGAGGCTACGGTCCAGTACGGTACGGTATGATACAGTACGGATGTATGATACAGACATACATTCCAAACAGCATGGAGCAGGAAGCCTGATTTTAATAAAAATCACTGTCAACAATTAATTTTTACATAAAAATAAGCTTAGTATCAGCGTGACATTGATTACAGTGTGAAATACTTAATTGATAAAAATAATAAAATTATTCTTCATATATAAGCTTACTTACAGAAAGAAATCTTCTCTATTACAGTATTTACCGGATCTCATAGGAGGTTATGGTCCGGTAGGATTGTGACAGAGCTGCCTTAGATAAAAATTTCTTATTGATTCCTTATTATTTAAATCTGATAATTAAAAGAATTCTGATTGTTTATAGTGCAGTAAAACTTTTGACTTTAAAGCAATATCTATCACTTATACTTTGCATTAATAATAGGAAATATTTGTTTATAATAATACTATGAAATATTGAAATATAATTAATAATGCGAAATATTTGTTTCAGAGCTCTGTGACAGTCTATGGTGGCAATTTAGGCAGAAGTGTTATCTCCCGGTATTTATTTTTTTTCTTTTAATTCTTTGTTTCATTTTTAATAAAAAATTCAAATAATTTTACTCTTCCTATTTCAAATGAATTCATCCACCTATACTTTCGAGAACATTTAATTTTATTTCATCTGATCATTTGAGATTCACGGTCGTTTCACTCATTCTGAAGGATCTGATTATTGCACAAAATTTGGTGCTCATTTGGTTACAATTAGAGATACTCAACAAGCAAATTATGTGAATTGTGAGCAATTTCAATATGTAAATTGTAATATCAGGTCACATAACCTGAAATACTAACACTGATAAACAAGATATTAACGCCATTTACATTGCCCGTAAATAACCTACATACCTAATAATTGTTTTTTGCATTTGGCTTTTTCCTTACTTTTTTTAGATAAAATTCTAGAATTAAAAACTGAGTGAAATTATTAGAATTATCATTCAATAAAAAACTTTCTATTTCAGATATCTATGATATAGGTGGTAATGGTACATATTGGATTGGTTTAATTAAAGATATTAATGGTACTTTGAAATGGCAAAGTGATGAATCTATGATTTACACCAACTGGAGTGAAGGAGAACCGGAACCACGGATAGGTTGTGTGATTACCAATACGGTAATACATAATGGAAAATGGTCAATAACTGACTGCTCTGACTTACAGTATCCAGATCAAGGATTTGTTTGTGAGATGGATATTCGTAGTAATTAGTTGAAATTTCTCTTGAATTTCTCTTTTGATCAATTTTTTGCATATTTTTTTTTCAAATAAATTATTGAAGAATAGCATTAGCTGTCATAGTTTTTGAAATCTAATTTTTATTTTCAATTCCTCAACAATTATTCTTCGAATATGGATCATTATATGATATTTTACCAGCTTTTTCAAACGTGTAGTAATTGCTTATTATCACAAATAGTAATTTATTTATAAAACAAATTGTCATTAAAGGAATATTTTAAAAGTAACTTTCTCATTTTTACTCTATGGAAGCAAATAATTAATTATCTATGAATGTTCCGTAAACACAACTCTCTGAATTTGTTTGTCATTCAGTACGTAGTTTAAAAAACGAAAAAAGTTATAGATTTTGTTGAGAAATTGAATGCTAATAAATTGAAATAAATTTCACATATTAAAAGTTTGAAGGAAAGCAATACACATATTGTTTGTTAATTGATTGTAATATTATCTAATATTCTAAACAATGTACAGTGCCTAACTGTAAATGAAAGATGAAAATTGGATAAATAGTTTCTCCCTCACTTCTGATATAAAACTAAAAGTTATTTGTCCAAGAAATATTCAAAACAGGATAATTTCTAGTCTGCAAATTTTTATTTCATACATTTGACTCCGGTTCTTTTTTTTTTATATAGTTTGCGGAATCATTCATGCATTAATAAAGAAATTGCTTTCTGAAGATTAATTTATTTCATCCAAAAAATCAAGTGTGGAATCCAAAGCAAAGTGTCTGTTTCTATTTGCTTATCTTAAAATCATTTTCTCAGCTGGAAGATCAGGAAAATGGTTTTGCTGATGACAATTGAGATTTTTTCAACAGTTCACCCTCAAGAAACAAACAAAACATCAATTGTTATTCTGGTTTAAATAAGTTTTTAGTATATTTCATGCAGTCGGTTTCCGAATCCGTTTTCAAAAATAGAAACCGTACAAAAGTGGATGAAATCGTCATTTTCACTGCTTTCGGTTAGAGTACATGGAGTAGCATACATTATTTTATTTTTCATTATTGCCTATCACATATTACAATTTCATTCTATTTTATTAAATCAAGAATGCTCTTTGCGAGAATTATTAGAGGTTCGTTTCTTGCATTGCTTATTCCATATTCCATTGCTGTAATTAACATATTATCATTATCTTAAGAATTTACAAACTCTTTACATGTAACTTTTGAACAACTAAAAAATTAACAATTAAACAAAAAATTAAACAGAATTTTCCAGAAGTTACTGCGGAGAGATGCAGTTCCTGCAGTGAATGTTAATACATATGGAAGCAGCAGTGACAACAGTTTTTCTTAACTATCTAAGAACGCACATTACAAAATTATAAGGGAATTTTCAAATTTGTAACACATCAACATCAAATCTCTATTACCTTCTGAATTTTGGATTTTGTATGAATTAAGCGGTTCCAATTTTGAAATTGCTGTTTCGCTTTCAATCTCCAAAAAGTCCGGTTTACACTGACCATTCACCCAAATCTTGTCTCGATTACAATCTATGCTATCAACCGCATCTAAACCTAATTTTATAATATCTATTAACAAATTTTGCTGAACCAGTAAAACAAAATTAATTCAATCTTTTAAGGAAAAATTATTTTTATACGATTAATTTCATTTTGTAGGAATAATATGAGGAAAAAAAAACTGAATTGAAAAACTGTGGAAAAAACGAAAAGCTTACCCTTCATTACGAAATCTGCAGCAACCGCCACAACACCACCATCAGCAGCCATCATACCATCACCACCAGCATCACCACCACCACCACCCATCATACCACCACCACCAGCATCACCACCACCACCACCACCGCCACCACCACCAGCATCACCACCACCACCAGCATCACCACCGCCACCACCACCCATCATACCACCACCACCAGCATCACCACCACCACCGCCACCACCACCAGCATCACCACCACCACCGCCACCACCACCAGCATCACCGCCACCACCAGCATCACCACCACCACCGCCACCACCACCAGCATCACCGCCACCACCAGCATCACCACCGCCACCACCACCCATCATACCACCACCACCAGCATCACCACCACCACCGCCGCCACCACCACCAGCATCACCGCCACCACCAGCATCACCGCCACCACCACCCATCATACCACCACCACCAGCATCACCACCACCACCGCCACCACCACCAGCATCACCACCACCACCGCCACCACCACCACCGCCACCACCACCAGCATCACCGCCACCACCACCCATCATACCACCACCACCAGCATCACCACCACCACCACCACCACCACCACCACCACCGCCACCACCACCCATCATACCACCACCACCAGCATCACCACCACCACCGCCACCACCACCACCACCACCGCCACCACCACCACCACCAGCATCACCGCCACCACCACCCATCATACCACCACCACCAGCATCACCACCACCACCGCCACCACCACCAGCATCACCGCCACCACCACCCATCATACCACCACCACCACCGCCACCGCCACCAGCATCACCGCCACCACCACCCATCATACCACCACCACCACCGCCACCACCACCCATCATACCACCACCACCATCATCACCACCACCACCGCCACCACCACCAGCATCACCGCCACCACCACCCATCATACCACCACCATCACCGCCACCACCACCCATCATACCACCACCACCAGCATCACCACCACCACCGCCACCACCACCAGCATCACCACCACCACCACCACCACCACCACCACCACCACCACCACCGCCACCAGCATCACCACCACCACCACCGCCACCACCACCCATCATACCACCACCACCACCGCCACCGCCACCAGCATCACCGCCACCACCGCCCGTCATACCGCCACCACCAGCATCACCACCACCACCGCCAGCATCGCCACCACCACCACCCATCATACCACCACCACCACCCATCATACCACCACCACCACCCATCATACCACCACCACCACCACCACCACCACCACCGCCACCACCACCAGCATCACCGCCACCACCACCCATCATACCACCACCACCAGCATCACCGCCACCACCACCCATCATACCAGCATTCATATTTTCATCCTCTATCGCAGCACCGCCATCCCTTACACCTTCCTGATTAACTTGTCGCATTGGTGCATTATTGCTGGAGCAGAAAATAATATAAACAAACAGTAAATGTCTTCTTGCCATGTTCGTATTTGGTCAGCAAAATATCATATTTCGTTGCCCTGAAGAAACCCATTTATTTAAATTCATATTCAATATCATAAGAAGACAGTTACAAAGTTTCAGTCAATCAGAAATGTTATTTAAAAGCAAAAAATAGATAGACAAAATGAATTTTTCAGCCAATGATATTTTCCTTTGCTTTTCGATTTTCTATGCACTACACAAATGTGAAAATCTTTCCAATAACAACAATGTAAACATGGTGGCACATTGATGTATTGGAATAAACTGATACAGTCAGAGATCTATTGAAGGAAATTTAAGTGGGAATAGAGTTGAATGATTCTAAGATAATCTATGACAACGAGGGTATGGTACTAAATGTTGAATCATTCTGATCATGAGAGAAAATATTCCAGATTAACCTAATATTGAAACCCAAAGAGTATTTTTATCGATAAAGAGTATTCTATTTTTGAATTGTTTGCAATCCTGCATCTAAATTTTTTGATCGTAGAATTAAAAAAGTGAAATTGAAGAGCCCAATGAAAAGTTACTTCATAGTTTTCTTAAGTGATTGTGATAGATTGAAATGTAAAAGATGTAACAGTAAAGAAATAAATGGTAAAGGATTTAAAAATTGCACCTTTTATATTTCGACAGTGGCCCCTTTTGGAGTGATTATTGTCTCGCATAGTAGACATATTTGATCGATACATGTCTTTTTGTTCTACAATTTAATTATTTGTCGCATGTTTAAAAGAAAAAAGGAGGAAGAATGAGCTGCTGAGTTGTTGAGCTGATAGAAGGAATAGAAAGAGATTTATATAAACGGAAGTGAATATTTCAATTTTGAATTGGTTAAACATTTCCTTCTCGTTGAAATTTACAGATCATTTTTTGTTTGAAAATTATATGATTCACAATATTCGCCTACATTCTAACTATAGGAATTCTTCCTGTTCATGTTATTACTAATTGTTTCCTTATAACTTTGATTTTCTTTTAATCTGTATTTCTTTTTTTAATTTTGTAGTTGCTTTATTATTTTTTTTTTTTTGATCATTTCAATAATATTTTGAGGTTGATAGGAAATGTGTAAGTATTATATATTTTTAGATAATAAAGTTTTGCATTCTCAAATTCAATTGTTCCGTCAATGTCTCCACTTTTCAGTAACACTTATGGTTTTTATCGAAAAGTCCACCGCTTTATAACTGTGCTCTTTTTTTTGCTAAAACTTCTACCAGTTAGTTAATTTATTTCCGTATTGTGATAATTTTTCAAGCATGTTTTTAATAAATACATCACAGCACATTCAATTCTTTCAACACTTATATTATAAAGCTATTTTCTAAACAAAATTTTAAAAAAAAGTGAAATTTGTCATCCTGTGTTACTGGTCACAAGTTCATCTGGATGTTTTATCGGTGGTATTTCCGTAATAATATGGAACCATCGTGTCAGTTTAATTAAACACGATTAGTTTTTTTTTTTTTTTTATCAAACTATGCTAGGACTTTACATATAAAATTTCATTCTTCTTTAACGTAAGAGAAAATTTTAAACAAGCAACAACTCTAAAGAAAAGGAATTTTAAACAATACTTTGCTTACTAAAATTTTTTTGTAAACGCGGAATCCTTATAAAAGTTATTTTCTGCTCGTATGTCGTTAATAAAAAGAGCATAGCATTAAATTAATTGAAAGAAAGGATATTTGTTGATAAACTGTCACTACAGAGAGATAAATTTGCAAACAATTTACAAATTCCAGCGGGAAAGAAAAGTTTAACCAATTCAACGGGCAGTATTTGCTTCCGTTAATATCAGCCTTTTTCTATCCGTTCTATACAATTCATCCACTCATTCTTCCTTCTTTCTCTTTTAAACATACGACAAATAATTAAATCGTAGAACAAAAAAAAACGTGTATTGCTCAAACACTCCTACTATGTAAGATTAAATTCACTCCAAAACAGGCCATTGTCGAAATATAAAAAGCGAAATTTTTAATTATCCATCATCAATTTTCTTTTACTGTTATATTTTATGCATTCCGGTCTATCACATAACGGTTTGTAAAAATCATAAGGTTAACCTTGCACTAGCTCTCTTTTGCTTTTACAATTCTGCAAAGTAACTAATGAAGAAGTAATCTAGGAACGTAACGTTTAATATAGATATATTGAGGATCAATGATAAAGAGATCTATTATATTGGCTTCAGGGGTGGAAGAATAAGACTATATTCCGTATACGTGGATTCATTACCCTAGATTTATTTAGTGCTTTCTATTAAAATGTTTTTCTAATAGACTCTTTGACATCCAATAATTTAATTTGATTAAAACAAAACAACACATCAGACAACGAAGAAAAAAAAAATCATTGGCTGAAAAATTTATTTTAGACCGTATCCATTTTCTCCATTAGGTAATACGTTTGATTGGCTGAAAATTTTTAACTGTCTTCCTATGATACTAAATGCGAATTTACATAAATGCGTTTCTTCAGGGTAACGAAATATGATATTTTGCTGATCACATATGATCATGGCAAGAAAACATTTACTCTTTGTTTATATTATTTTCTGCACCAGTAATGGACCACAGATGCAACCAGCTAATCGTGATGGCGGGATGGGTGGAGGTGGCATGGGCGATGGTGGTGGCATGATGAACGGTGGTGGTGGCATGATGAACGGTGGTGGTGGTGGCATGATGAACGGTGGTGGTGGTGGCATGATGAACGGTGGTGGTGGTGGCATGATGAACGGTGGTGGTGATAGGATGAACGGTGGTGGTGGTATGATGAACGGTGGTGGTGGTGGTATGATGAACGGTGGTGGTGGTGATATGATGAACGGTGGTGGTGGTATGATGAACGGTGGTGGTGGTGGCATGATGAACGGTGGTGGTGGTATGATGAACGGTGGTGGTGGTATGATGAACGGTGGTGGTGGTGGCATGATGAACGGTGGTGGTGGTATGATGAATGCTGATGGTGGCATGATGAATGGTGGTGGCATGATGAACGGTGGTGGTGGTATGATGAACGGTGGTGGTGGTATGATGAACGGCGGTGGAATGAACGGTGGTGGTATGAACGGTGGTGGTATGAACGGCGGTGGTATGAACGACGGTGGTATGAACGGTGGTGGTATGAACGGCGGTGGAATGAACGGTGGTGGTATGAACGGCGGTGGAATGAACGGTGGTGGTATGAACGGTGGTGGTATGAACGGTGGTGGTATGAACGGCGGTGGTATGAACGACGGTGGAATGAACGGTGGTGGTATGAACGGTGGTGGTATGAACGGTGGTGGTATGAACGGTGGTGGTATGAACGGCGGTGGTATGAACGGTGGTGGTATGAACGGTGGTGGTATGAACGGTGGTGGTATGAACGGTGGTGGTATGAACGGTGGTGGTATGAACGGCGGTGGTATGAACGGTGGTGGTATGAACGACGGTGGAATGAACGGTGGTGGTATGAACGGTGGTGGTATGAACGGTGGTATGAACGGTGGTGGTATGAACGACGGTGGAATGAACGGTGGTGGTATGAACGGTGGTGGTATGAATGACGGTGGAATGAACGGTGGTGGTATGAACGGTGGTGATGGCATGATGGCTGCTGATGGTGGTGTTGTGGCGGTTGCTGCAGATTTCGTAATGAAGGGTAAGCTTTTCGTTTTTTCCACAGTTTTTCAATTCAGTTTTTTTTTCCTCATATTATTCCTACAAAATGAAATTAATCGTATAAAAATAATTTTTCCTTAAAAGATTGAATTAATTTTGTTTTACTGGTTCAGCAAAATTTGTTAATAGATATTATAAAATTAGGTTTAGATGCGGTTGATAGCATAGATTGTAATCGAGACAAGATTTGGGTGAATGGTCAGTGTAAACCGGACTTTTTGGAGATTGAAAGCGAAACAGCAATTTCAAAATTGGAACCGCTTAATTCATACAAAATCCAAAATTCAGAAGGTAATAGAGATTTGATGTTGATGTGTTACAAATTTGAAAATTCCCTTATAATTTTGTAATGTGCGTTCTTAGATAGTTAAGAAAAACTGTTGTCACTGCTGCTTCCATATGTATTAACATTCACTGCAGGAACTGCATCTCTCCGCAGTAACTTCTGGAAAATTCTGTTTAATTTTTTGTTTAATTGTTAATTTTTTAGTTGTTCAAAAGTTACATGTAAAGAGTTTGTAAATTCTTAAGATAATGATAATATGTTAATTACAGCAATGGAATATGGAATAAGCAATGCAAGAAACGAACCTCTAATAATTCTCGCAAAGAGCATTCTTGATTTAATAAAATAGAATGAAATTGTAATATGTGATAGGCAATAATGAAAAATAAAATAATGTATGCTACTCCATGTACTCTAACCGAAAGCAGTGAAAATGACGATTTCATCCACTTTTGTACGGTTTCTATTTTTGAAAACGGATTCGGAAACCGACTGCATGAAATACACTAAAAACTTATTTAAACCAGAATAACAATTGATGTTTTGTTTGTTTCTTGAGGGTGAACTGTTGAAAAAATCTCAATTGTCATCAGCAAAACCATTTTCCTGATCTTCCAGCTGAGAAAATGATTTTAAGATAAGCAAATAGAAACAGACACTTTGCTTTGGATTCCACACTTGATTTTTTTGGATGAAATAAATTAATCTTCAGAAAGCAATTTCTTTATTAATGCATGAATGATTCCTCAAACCATATTAAAAAAAAATACATAATACTTTACACGCCTACCGTACTATATAAAGGATTGAAATAATCTGTTAGTGACAGCTCTTTACTTGCAGCTTTTTTGCGTGCCCAATGCGTACTGTAGAAAGGAAGTTAAAAGCGTTGTCTGTTCAGTTTTTCCGATTTGATTCGGTTCGTTTCGGTACACACTCAGTTCATTTCAGGAAACAGTGATACGGTAGCGGCAGTGTACTGTTGGTATAATTTAAAATTTACTTCATTCAGTTCTTTCCTACTACTGTGCAACAATAAGAACGCACTTATTATAGAATGCTTTTCCAACAAATTGCAAAAATTTTTGTTCTATTTATGTTTTTTCAACCTTTGCTTTTGACAAAAAAAAAAGTTTGTCGCGAAACTCGAAATAATCTCGCGAACTTTCAAATAACTTACAAAATATATCAAATAAAATTGTATTAATCTATAGTACTAAAATTCGTCTTAACTGAATATTAAAAATATAAAAGTCTTTCAAATTTGCATCACGTAACTATTATTCCAACACTCATCTTCCCATTGTAGTTGAGCTTATCTTCTTGTCTAGACATTTTCATCTGATAACAAAAAAAAAGGTATGTGCATTGTCTAACATGCTAAAAATTACTCTTTGTTCCGAATCAAATTTGCTTGCAATGTCGAAATATTGCAATAGTTTCCAAGCTAGTAGTCATTCTTTGAGAAACTACAATATTAAAACCCATCTCTAGCTATACAAAGAGTAGATCATCTGATTTCTTTTTCTCTAGCTATACAAGGAGTAGATCATCTGATAGCTCCTTACTTAACAATCATGCTTTTGCTGCAAGTCATTGCCCACTATATAAGGACTTGGACTTCTCTCTCCCCACAGTTTTCGCAATTTTTCCTTACCAGTAGGTTACATTCAGCTACTCTCCCCCACTCACAGCTGAGTTCATTTCTCCGTTAATCTATTCATTTATCTACTTCCTTCATCTCATTTGTAGATACTGTATGAAATTATCAGTATTGTCGCTATAAATCAATAATTATATATTGTGGAGCATGCGAAAATGCAGTTCGATTCTAAGCCACAAGTAATATTTAGACTGAACATCAAATTTCACGACAAACTCTCTATAATCCAGAAATAAATACAACTCTTTAGTCATTTATAGCTTTTAAAGTAAAATGCCTTCTTCTACAAAAACCACAAAATTTTAAGTCTTTTTACTGGCTGTAAATGTTGCAAGTTGCAAAATGATTTAAAATGTATATTAAAAGTTCGAAATATGCTTTTAAAAAAGCTATAATTTGTAATATAATGCAGAAATTACGTAAGTTTGGAATTTATATATATGTGAGGAAGGCATATCTTATTATTTGCAAACAATTTTAAACTTATTTTGTGCACTTTTTTTGAATGGAATTTGCATAAAACACAAATTGAGCATTTTTTGATGCAAATTGATCTATTCATGTCTACAAATGGACATCTTTTCATCTCTTTTTCAAAAATATATTCTATTACTATTAGTCTACAAATACTTTTGGTTATCGTCAATAGAACTTTTTTAAATCTCATCCTCAAATCAATCCCGTCAGATATACTTTTATTTTTAATACAATATTAGGTTATTAATTCTTGTATGAAGCTATGAAATGGCTTCGCTATTTCCTTTATCCAAAATCATATCTTGTCTTAATTTTTCAAGTTTCCATGTTTTTTTTTTTTTTGAATATTCATTTTTTTCCAAATCTCATTTTTCAAAAGATCAAGAGTTATCACTATCTGGCTAGTTTTGATGATTCATTGATAGTGAAATTTTATACAAATGCTTGTTAATTGTCACTTGAAATTGCTTATTTTTTATTGCTATTTGATTTTAAATTGCTACTTGCTCTCCTGGCAATTGCCGCATGCTATTATTTGTTGCAAACAGTTATTAAAGTAAGTTTATCATTGCGATGCATTATTTTTAATTTTGTACAATTCAATAAAATTTTATTTTCATTTTACTTTGAATTGAAGTTTTCAAAATAATCTAAATAATTCAGTATTTTTAAACCATTCATATTTTCAATATTTAAACCATTCACTGAAAAGATTTTAGGAACCCATTGCGATGCATTATTTTTAATTTTTATATATATATTTTGGCTTTATTTATAGATTTAAAACTTTTATAAATGAGTACACATTCTTAAATAAGTTTTATTAGTTTAATAATCTTTAATGATTTTGATCTTCCTATTATTATATGTTCCAATAAGTTGTAATCCTTCTAATGTGCATTTTTTGTTAATTGTCGGAAATAATAATAATTATTAGTTAGTAGAAACCAGTCATTATATCCTGAAAACTTTTAACTTGTTTAGTAGGAAGAAAAATGCGTTGTTTATTCCTTTTTGGGAAAGCTTTGTTTTTTTCTTAGACATTATAGGACAATCGCGAATGATTTACAAATCGTAGTCGGCTTTTTTTTTTCTTTCTGTTAATCCAGGAGAAATCCGTTTGATATAGGTAATTATAGGATAGAATAACATCAAAATATTTCGTGATAAATTTTATTTGACAAGCAAAACAAGTAGTAGTTGTTAAAGTAGGGTAGGAAGTCATTGTTTAATTTCTTAATTTCAGTTAAAATTCCTAAGTTATCAATATATCAAAAAACTGTCTCTAACTAAAAAAAAACAAACCGGAAATGACGATTTCAAATAGGAAAAGAAAATAAATGGAAAAATAGTTAAGGAACTAAAAAATTAATTAACATTTTTTGTACTTTTGCTGTGGTATGAAGAACTCATTTTTTCTAGATATCATCATTGGTATAAAAATATCAAAATTTGACGTCGCTGCAATCAGTCCTAGCAAACTTTTTAATTCGGTTTTTTAAATACATGCAATTAAAAGACACATATAATTAAAGACTGATTTAGAAAAAGGTAGAGCAAATTTTGTTAAAGTAAAAGATAGAAAAGAAAATATTCTCTTAAAATTTTTGATACATGAAATTAGTTAAATTTATATTTTGAAATTGAAAACTCATTACCAGCAATTTATTATTAATATCTAATTGTAATCTCAAATTAACTGGAGTCTATCTAAAAAAAACAAAAAAACAAAAAAATGAAAAATTTTATAAACATAAAGTTCGAAGATCATTAAATAAACAAATTATTTATCGGAGAAGAAAACAAACATTTCGCTGACAATTTATGGTCGTTGTAATGTTTGATAGTGGTGGTATGTTGTTTTGCTTTGATGTATAAATCATAGTGACACCATTCACTATCGATTTCAATTGATCATAAATATTCTAAAAAAGTGATCAATCATTTAGTTTATCATTGAATACTGCAAACAATTTTAATTACTTCTTTTTTACTGCACTGGTTTTAATTTAATTTCGCGATTAAAAGCAAAATTAAATCAAAATTAAAAAAATTACAATTGACAATTTTAGATTTTGGAATGAAATTATTTCGATTAATTTTTTTAAAATATTGGAATGGATTGTATAATTAAATATGCAAATTTATTGATTTATCAAGTAATGAAGGAAATTTCTGATCAAATTAATCTATTAAATGATATTCAAATAATCAAAGGAATCTTGATGTTATGTATTACACTTATGAATTAAATAATTATTAAATTCCATCATGAAAGAAAGTTCAAATAGTTTCTTATCTTTTCTATCCAAACTCGCAATGCATTTTTTTTTATTTTTTATTTCTGTTTTTTATTTCCTAAAATTCATTAACAATAGCAATGATTTTAGTGAAAGAAATTATTATTAGAATTTAGTTTTGCTAAAAAAAAATTTTTTTTTGGAACCAAAATGCAAATAATTCATATTGAATTATATCATCCATACAATTATTTCATAAAAAAATGAATTTTACTTGATTAGTCCATCTCTAATGTTTTTCTTTTGTCAAAATGATTGAAAATTTTTTGAATTGCAACTGAGTGTATAACACTTCGTCACTAATTTTCTTGTTTAATAAACTATTTTTAATTCAATTTTGCTTCTAATCGCAAAATTAAATTAAAATTATCACAGCAATTAAAATTGCATATAATTTTTTGTAGTGTTCAATGATAAACTCAATGATTGATTACTTTTTTAGAATATTTATGATGATTTGAAATCGATAGTTGAATGGTGTCACTGTGATTTATACATCAAAGCAAAACAACATACCACCACTATCAAACACTACGACAACATTAATAAATTGTCAGCGAAATGTTTGTTTTCTTCTTTCCACAAATAATTTGTTTATTTAATGATTTTAAAACTCTATGTCTATAAAATTTTTCATTTTTTTTTTACGTAGAATCCAGTTAATTTGAGATTACAATTAGTATATTAAAACGAAATTGTTGCTAATGAGTTTTCAATTTCAAAATATTAATTTAGCTAATTTTAAAAATTTTAAGAGAATGTTTCGTTTTCTATCCTTCAGCAAAATCTGCTCTACCTTTTTCTAAATCAGTCTTTAATTGTATGTGTCTTTTAACTGTACGACTTTTAATTGTATGAATTTTTTTTTTTAAATATAAATCTTAAGAATTAAAAAGTTTGCTAGGACTG